ATAATCTAAAGATTCAATTGCAATTCGTATCAGAATATCAATGACCTTCACAGAAGCAAAAAAGGAAAAAGCAACCATATAAATTTAGGTTCTAACTTCATATTGGACCTAAAATAATCTTAAAAGCTGTAACAGTCTTGAGTAAAATGAATAAAGGTGGAGCCATTATAATAGCAACTTCAAAACACAATACAAAAGTATAGTATGATATGGGGAGGTGGAGCACTGAAGAAACTTAACAGAAAACAAAGGAATAATTTACCCATCTAGATCTAACTATAAGGGCAACTGACCAGTGAGGGTGTAGAAGGCACCAACTAAAGTAAACTCTCTTCAGTAAATGGTACTGGAAAGCTTCAACATCTATATATATATAAAGAGAGAAGAGTAAGTCTAGTATGGTGGCTCAAACCTTTAATCCAAGCACTCAGGAGGCAGAGGCAGGTGGACCACTCTGAGTGGAAGGTCTACATAGAGACTTGCAGGACAGCTAGAGCTACATAGTGAGGCCCTGTCTCATTAAAAATGATGAATTAAATATTGGAGAATAAAACTAGACTTCAACCTCTTACTACATACAAAAATCAATGCAATATATCACACTATCTGGTGGTCTGAATGAGAACAACCTCCGTACACTCCCATGCTCGGGTGCTTGGTGCCAGGAACTGTCTGAGAAAGATTAGAAGGATTAGCCACAGACAGGAGGGAAGGCCTAGGACCTACCCCAAATGACTTGACAGATTTTGATGATCCCTCCTGGAAGGCCTCACCCTCCTTGGGGAGTGCATGGGGAATGGGAGGGGAGGGGTGGTGGTAGAGCATGGAAGGAGGGAGAGGGAACTAGGGTAGAACTGTAAAATTAAGAAAAAATAATAATAATAAAAAAGAGAGAAAAAAAGAATTAGCGACAAAAAAAAAAAAAAAAAAAAAAGGACAGGTGACAGTTGTACACACCTATAATCCCAGCACTCAAGAGGCAGAACTCTGAGATCGAGGATAGCCTGATCTACAGAGCTAGTTCCAGGACAGCCAGGACTATACATATAGATCCTGCCTCAAAAAAGCAAAACAAAACAAAAAAGGATTAGAAGGGGTGGCCTTGTAGGAAGAAGGTTTGGCCTTGTTGGAGGAGGGATAGCCTTGTTGGAAGAGATATGTCACTGGGGATGGGCAATGAGGGTTCAAAAGTCCATGCCAGGCTCGGTCTCTCTGTCTGCTACCTGTGCCTCAGGAGGTAAAGCTCTCAGCTACTTCTCCAGCACTATGGCTGCCTGCTATCACACTCCCCACCATGATGATGGTGGAATAGCTCTCTAAAATAAGCAAGCCTCCAATTAAATGCTTTCTTTTTTAAGAGTTGCCTTGGTTATGGTGTGTCTTCCTAGCAATGGAACTGTAACTAAGACACACTAGTATGTGTAAGACCCAAAACTATGAAACTACTAGAAGAAAACATTAAAAGGCATGAAGTGCACATATGGGAGTCAGAGGACAACCTCAGGTGCCAGTTCTTTCCTTCTACCTTGTTTTAAACAGGGTCTCTGCCTGTTAGTTTTCACTGTCACACATCATTCTCTGTCCCTGACTCTTATCTTGGCAGAGAAGCACTGAGTGCAGAAGCACATTGCCATGGCTTGCTTTACAGGGGCCTAGAAATTCAAACTCAAAGGTTCTTAAGTTTGTATGGCATGTTTTTTTACCCATCAAGCTACTTACCAGCAAAGAATTCTTACTTTAGTATTGGTTTCTGGTGATGGAGGTAGTGGTGGTGGTTTTCTGAGACATGATCTCATGTATCTTTGCCTAGCCTCAAACTTGTTATGTAGCTAAGGCTAGCCTTCAACGCCTGATACTCTTGCTTTTACACTTCCTGAATGCTGAGAAGGCATGGGCCACCCAAAGGATTCATTCCAGAATACATAAGGGACTCAAACAACTCAACAGCAAAATATAATTTGTTTTTAAAATGGGCAAACAACCTGTGTAAAGACATATTTAAAAGGATATACAAACAGCAAACCAATATATACAAAAGTTTGATATCACTAATCATCAAGCTATCTTTTCAACCCTGTAAGAAGTGCTACTAACAGATTTTAAAATGGCAAGTTCTGATGGGATGTGGCAAAGAGGGAGCACTACTATAAGACTGTTAAACATAAAACCATTACAGAAAACAGGACAGAACCTCTTATAATGGAAAATCCCACTGCTGATGCATATCTAAAGGAAATACAATCCATATGCCAGGACAACATGTGTATTCTTCTGTTTACTACAGAATACTCATGACAGCCAAAAAGGTAATCACTCCAGGTGTCCACAGACGGATGAGTGGACAGAGTGGTCACCCAAGCTTGAGAAAGGCAGAGGGATGGAAAGAGGATAGTTAATGTGTATGGGAAGATGGGTGCAATAACTTCTAATGTTCTACAGAACAGGAATATTAACTATGAGTTACAGCAATTAACTGTGTGTTTCAAAAGAGCAGAGCGCATGCTCCCAGCACAAAGAAATAAATGTTTGAGACGGCAGGCCAATTATCATGATCTGATCATTGCACACTGTATACCTGTGCCTAAGTATCACACAGTTATCTCATAAACACATACAATTACTGTATGCCAGTTTAAGATGTGTTTTTTAAAGAGACTGTGGTACTAACATTATGTTGCACATATAGAATAGAACAGAACTGAGAACAAGGAAATAAACTCTTACAATTTTAAAAGTGGATTTTCAACAGACGTTGGTAACTGAATAGGAAAGTCTAGTCTTTTCAACAGAGTGTAGTTGATTACTGGATTTCACAAGGAAAAGAATGAAACTGGAGTCCATCTCTCATCTATACAAAAATTAATTCAAATTGCACAGAAGACCTAATTATAAGAGCAACTATGAAACTCTTAGAGGAAAATACAGGCATAAGTCTTCATGATGTTGGACTGGGCAATCCTTCATCAAACATAAGACAAAGAAAGGTGCAGTGGTACATACCCACAACCTCAGTGCTCAGGAGGTGGAAGAGGAAGATCCCTCAAGCTTGAGGCCATCCTGAACTGCACAGTAAGAACATAAACGAATTTAAAACTTTTCTTTTGAGACAGGTCTCCCTATGTAGTCCAAGCTGGCCTGCTTGCAATGTTCCTGCTTTCACCTCCTAAATTGTGGGATTTCAGGCAAACATTACCACACCTAGCAAAATTTAAAATGTTTATACATCAAAGCATACTATCAACAGCCACAGAATAGGACAAAGCATTACAATCATATTAATTCATAAAGGTCTGCTAGCAACAAAGGCTTAAAACTCATCAATAAAAAAGACAAACCAACTAAAACATGGACATAGGATCTGAATAGGCATTTGTCTCTAAAGAATGTGTACAAAACAAACAGCTGATAAGCACATGAAAACACGCTCAATGACATTGGCAAATGCAAATCAAAGTCACAACGAGATATCACTTCACATCCACAAAATGGCAGTAATTAAGAAAAAAAAAAATAGGTGCTGGCAAGGATGAGGAGAAACTGGAACCCTCATGCATTGCTGGAGGTAACATAAAATAGTAGAGCCACTTTGGAAAACAGTGAGGCAGTTCCTCAAAAAAAAAAAAAGGTTATCATATGACCCAACAATTCCACTCCTATATATATACCCAAGAGAACTGAAAATGTATGCTCACACAAAAAAATTATACACAAATATCCATAGCAGCAATATTCATGGTAGCCAAAAAAAAAGTAAAAACAACCTAAGCATCCATCAATTGTTGAACAAATAAAAAAAATGTGGTATTACTTTTATAATGGAATATTATTCAGCCATAATGAGAGTAATACATGCAATAATATGAATGAACCTTGAATATATTATGCTAAGTGGAAAATAAGACTCAAAGGTCACACAGCATATGCTTTCATCTGAGGGAACTATCCAGGATAGTTAAATCTTTTGAAACAGAAAGTAGATTAGTAGTTGCCAGAGGTTAGAGATCCAATAGAGTACAGAATGTCTATTCAGTGGGTATGTGGTTTCCTTTTAAAGATGAAAATTAAACAATATATCATTTTGTGCATACACTAAAGATCTCTGAATTCTCTGAATTTCATTTTAAAGTGGGGAAGTTTATAATGAAAGAATTACATTGCAACAAAATAAATATGAAAGAATCCCCATACCAACTGTTCTACTCATCAGCATCCAGAATGGTCCTTCTAAAATATGAGTTCAATAATACAGTCACCCTTTTCATAGTGCTATGATGGCCACCCACCTCACTGGCATAAAAGTCAGTGTTCTCACCTTAACCTACAAGGACATTTGTATGTTTTCTGAGACAGGGTTTCACTGTATAGCTATGGCTGTCCTAGCACTTTGTAAATCAGGCTAATCTTGAACTCACAGAGATCAGTCTGCCTCCACCTCTCTGTGCTGGAATTAAAGGCAGGCCTCTCAACACCCACCTAACCTACTGGGCTTTACAGAGTCTATTACCCTTCCTTTTTCACCTACCACTTTGCACTTTATCACACAACTTTCACTGCAGTCATACTGGCCTCTTGACTTCTGGTTAGCGTAATATTCTTCCCCTTCAGGGCATTTTCTCTGCCTAGAACTCTTCCTCCATATATATATGCAAACCTGGCACTGATGTGCTTTTAAATGCCAATTCAAATGTCACTTTTTTTTAAAACCCTTACCTGGCCATTCTACTTAAACAGCATTCTCTCGTTTATTGTCCTTTCCTCATAAAACTAATCATAATTTGACATATGTATTAAAATTATTAGTTATTTTCTGTCTTACTAAACTATACTGCAAACTCCATGAAAAAAAATTGGTTTTGTTCATACTCAAGCAATATTTGCAAAGCAGCAAATTCTCAATGAAATCCATTCAGTGAATAAATAAGCCAATTTAATAAAATGTAAAAGAGAAACTCATATCTAAGATGCTAAGTGTTGTTATTGGGTCAGTGGGTACCTCTCACCTGTTCCAGGTTAGGATACTGCACACGGCAATAGCTGCAATACCCTTGTCTTTTCTGCATCTTAACTAGTCAGTCAGGAGGCTACTGGCCTCAAATGGTCAAACTACAAAGGAAAAAAAAGAAGCATTAAAATTAATAATGATGGCTGGGCGGTGGTGTTGCACGCCTTTAATCCCAGCACTTAGGAGACAGGCAGATCTCTGTGAGTTCGAGGCCATCCTGGTCTATAAGAGGTAGTTCCAGGACAGCCTCCAAAATCACTGAGAAACCCTGTCTTGAAAAACCAAAAAAAAAAATAAATAAATAAATAAATAAATAAATAATAATAATAATAAATAAAAATAAAAATGAATAATAAACAGTAATTCCTTATTACTATTAGGAAAATAGCTCAAAATTATTTCTGTTCATTTTTTTGAGGCAGGATTTTACTATATAGCTTAAGCTGACCTAGAATTCACTATGTAATCCAAAACTAGCCGGGAAATCACAATCCTTCTGCCTCAACTTCCTTAGTACGGGACTAATAAGCATGCACCATCATGCCTAACTTCCACCAGTGCCGTTTCTATGGATGAGGAGAATATTACAAAGCAGACATAAGCTCCTGAGTCAACAGATGGATGCATCACTAGAAAAAGCAATTTGCTGCAGTTATCTGAAGATACTGAAGGATCTTAGCGGTTTTCTATAGCTCTGAGTTACTAGAAAATAATTCCAGATGAAATAACACAGCACTAGATTTCTAAAGACCACACCACTATAATATACTTAATAAACCCTTCTGAAACACCATTTCCCTGAGTTCTTATAACAAAAAATCCAGAATTTGTGCTATCAGAGAGAACATCTAACTGAGTAAAAACGTCATGCAGCAGTTTATGTTCATCAGTTTATCAGAGTTGCTAAAAATATAACAACTAAAGTGGCCTTTTAATCACTAAACTTTTCTAAATATATAAACCACGTACATATAGAGAATTTTTATTACTAGTATTTTTGTGATTTCCTGACCAATAAATGGTTTACTAGTTTTTAACCCAGCTAAAACTACAAGCCTTCCCACCTTACTCTGAGGCAGAACCCACTATGTCTAGGCTAAGCAACATATCCCTCCAGAGAGAATGGGCTCCAAAAGGTCAGTTCAAGCACTGGGGATAAATCCTGGTCCCACTGCCAGTGGCCCCACAGACTGCCCAAGCCACACCTTATTCATTTTTGATCTTAGACAAAATATTTGTTCTTTGTGATTTAGTTTGCACCAGTGTAGAGCACAAAGATAAGAAGTTTTTTAGAGTTAAAAATGGAATATTTATATATGTACATGAGAGATTTTAAAGATTTCAGAAAAAAAAAAAACTATAAGCCTTCCATAATATATCAAAGTTCAAAAATCAAGCTAAATGGTAAAATCATTCCCCAAATTATGAAGCAGTAGAAATGAGTTAGAGCCTAGGACTCAGAGTTTTTGAAGATTCTCCACACTATTTAAGAAGGGGGCTTATGAGTAAGTCTTACACTATAAGGTAACAGTGCATCCCTTCTGTACTTATGTTTTGCTTCCAAATGAAACCCCTTGCTGCTTTGCAAAAATAAAATAACAAGGTATTCCTCTCTTGAAGCCCTTTCTACCCACAGGAGTTCTTTCTTACTTTTCTAAATAAATCTACATTTACTCTGCTAAAAGAGACATTGATACCCTAGATAATCTTGATACACAGCCAATTAATTCGTTGCAAAACACACACACACACACACACACAGTTTCAGCTATATATACATAGTTGCAGCTATTTTAATAAATTCAATGCAGTGTACTCGGTTTGTTACAACTGAAAACAGAATTGCAAATAAGTTTTTTTAAGTTTAATTCTAATTATTTACACATTTGTCTGCTGAAAAATAAAACAGAATCATTCAATGTGCTGTATTTAAAGGGAGAAGGTGGAAACAGTCTTAATGTATTGCCCAGGCTACCTTAGCATTTCAAGCACTGAAATTAGAGGCTTGTGCCACCAAACCTGGCTCTGTGACATTAGTACTCCTGAGTAAGAATATTCCACAATGTAAAACCAACGGTTGAAAATAAAATTACAGCCTTAAAACTAGTGAGAATGCAAAAGCTTTATCAAGTCAACATTCCTCATAATATTCACTTACCTATTACTCTGTACTGAGAACCTTTGTTTTTCTGACTTCTCACACTTACAGGAAAAATAAATCAATTAAACCAGCATCTGAAATAACAGATGTGAAATTTTAAAACTGGATCTTTCTCCCCATTAATTCACCTCATTTATTAATTGAAAACTATAGACCAAGACAAAGCTCATGGCTATATTTGTAGATAAACAATCTTGAGGCTAAGCAAATTCTAGAACATAAAACTAAACTTTGAAAATTATAAAGTAACAAATGTTTTAACCACTTCTTAAATATCTAATTAAAACATTCATTAAATAAAAGCAAAATATGTATAACATCACATAACAAAATTAAAAGCTTGCAGCCTTTAATCCCTAAGGCTCGATCACCTGCTGTTTCCATCACCTTTCATGCCACAGTGATTTATAAATCAGAAGCATGTGCTGACATTTTTTTAAATTTAACATTCCAGGACCTCACCTAAAATTTACCAAATCTAATCCCTCCGAAGTAGGAAGACAACACACACATATTAAAATATGATACACATATAAATACACAATTAAAATATTCAAGCTAATTCTAAGTTGACCCAAGAACATCAGCTCATTTTTATGAACTAATAAAATTTTAATTATTAAAAGGATCATTTATCCAAATTATTTATCTAGAATTATATTGCTTTGCATGAGTCAATAGGTCTTTTTATATAGATTTTGAATTCTAATAGATCTGGTTGATTTGAAAGTAACTAGTAGATTACCTTGAGCAGAGAAGCACAAGTATCTCATCAGCTGCATCCGTCTAGACAAGCGTCTGTAAATTAAAATAAAACCACTCTTTAGACAGAAAGTCTCACATTTATAATGGACCAATCAAGCACACTCTAGTCATACTGGCACGTAAAAAATAACACAGTTATTTCTAGTAACAGAAGAAAGTATTAAATTTTGAACACAAAGCTCTTTACACCTCCCCAAAAGGTGGAGCAGTTACTGTGGCCCCACCAAGCCCCCACCCACTTGGCTTTCTGGGCTCCAAGCGCAATAGCTGCTGTAAAAGGAGGTTAGGCACCCCTGCGCCTTCAGCAAGTTACGGGGAAACAAAAATTGCCCAAAGCCCAAATAAGTTTCTGGTAAAATTCTGAAAGAAAAACACACACGTGAAACTAAGTTTGGGCCCAGTACCCAATATTCTCAGCTACCTTACTAGTTTTAATTAAAAAAAAATAAAATAAAATTGTCACTTCTTATCATCCATCTGTCCCAGTGGACAATTAAATGGAATGGTCGGGATTTTTAATTCCTTGTAATTATGGGTCAAGTGTTAACCTGTACCCAGGACCACTTGTAAAGAAAAATTCCAACCCTTAGTTTCAAAAGAACCGACAAGACCGTTTCTTACTCAATGTATACGCTGTCGGGCACCTGCCAGTGCACAACTCTGCGCTAGGAGCTTTAGGAGAGAAACACAAGCCCTCCTGCCACCGAGGAGGGTAGAATGGAACTGGAAAATCAATGCAGAAGTGTGAAGCGGCAGCGTCTGGGAACTGCCTAAGGAAAACTAGTAAGCCTAAAGCACAGTAAAGCTGGGTGCCAGAGCACTTGCCTAGCACGCAAGAGGCTTGGACTGGATCCACGGAACACAAATGTGATAATGGCTTTAATTATCAAGATCAACTCAGAAAGCTAGTGCTTAAGGATATAAAGGTAGACATCGTCTTTTACCCAAATTTTGGGAGTAAAATTTACTTAGAATAAGGTTAGGAAAAAATAGTTCAAGAAGCAAACTAACATAGGTATAAAAACAAAAAGATGTCAAGTACATTTGGCGACAGAAAATTAGTTAAGTTCTGCTGAATCAAAGGTTTGATTTGAGAATTTATGGGGCAGCAAAACGGAAAAAGGAGAGTGATTTTGACATAGCAATATTCAAAAGCCAACCAAAAAATAATTTTTTTACAAGAGGTATATTAATGCTTCAAAGAAATCTTGTAAAAGGAAAATGCACATTATTCTTCACTTAAAATTACCTTTTACAATACAAGATATTTCTGTTGTACAATGATTAAAAACAAGCAAAGCAAATAAAGAATATAAATATAGGCTGCAATCCTACCTTACCATTTGTCATATATTACAGGAAGGGACTGATATTGGACATTCCATTCTATCACCCTCTGCTTTCGTTTATACACATGATAAGCACCTTTCCACATCACTACATATAATTCCAAAATGGAATGTTTAACAGCTGCGTCATCCTTCATTTTATTTGTGCAAGACAAAAATCTCTCTTAAACAAGATAAGAACCAGTAGCTGGTGAGCCAATAATATTTAAAACACAGACATACATGATCTTAGTATTTTACCTTTAAAAATATAATAAATATATGTTTAAAATCGGGGTAGGCTTTTTTGCTTTGACGTTTAGAGAGTTTTTGTCTTTTTTATTGGGGGGGAATTAACATGTATTTCAAGCCGTATTTTTTTCACAGACCATGTGATTCACTCCCAGTAAGTCTCTCTTTTACCCCTGTAAAACAGAACAAGAGCCTAAATACATTTGCAGACCAAGAGCAGAATTATGGTTGTTTTCCATTTTTCCCAACCTCTTACAGATGTCACACCCAAGTACAGCTTTTGAAGGGAACACCTTTTTTTATTCCAATGCAATCTATTTTCCATAAAAATCCTAACACTATTTTTAATGACAATGGTCACACTCTTCATTCACTGTTTTTGTTTGTTTGGTTGGTTGGTTTGTTTTTCCCCTAACATCTAAAGGTGTATAAACCAAGGCAGTGAACAGAGATACCTGAATTGCCTGGGCTGCTGCTGCTTTTGTGTGTGTGTGTGTGTGTGTGTGTGTGTGTGTGTGTGTGTGTGCGCGCGCACGCAAAAATTATCTCTTGCACAGCTGAGATGTATACTATGTGAAGAAATAAACCAATAATATCATTGACATGGTTTGGAGCTATATTGTCTTTCAGCTGGCTGTGTCACTGTAATGAGCACTTACAAAATTCAGGATCCTCATACATAATACTTCTCAACTGCCTGACAAAAGACATCAACTTAATTAAAAAAAATAAGAAAAGACAATAGAAGTATATCTGTTTTTAAATAAAACAATCTGAGCTGGTTATGGTGGTGCACATTCGTAATTCCTGCATTTGGGACTGACACGGGAGAATCATGTATGCCTGGGCTACATAGGGAGACCCCTGTCTCAAAAAAAAAAAAATTTACAAAAGTTAAACTTCGAACAAACAAACCCCACAATCTAAATTAGCTGTCTAGCAATAGGAAATATGAGAAGCAATCATAATTGTAACAATGGTCAAACCATATATAAAAAAGACTATATTTTAATTCAGTGCCAGTTCCTTCATATAACACTATCAACTAATTTTCACCTTTGCTTTTTTTTTTTTTTTCCTTCCTTTTGGACTATCCATGCTAAGACGAGGACAAAACCCTGGACACTTCCTAATAAAATAATAATAGCTAACCGTGAGCACTTAATCTGAGCCAGGCATGCAGTCAACAGCTTCATATGCATTACATTACCAAAAGGCAGCAGACAAACCGATGTTTAGAAAAGGCAGGGATATTGTTCCAGGTCTCACACCAAAATCCAGAGTGTCTGGCAAATCTGAGCAAACGGGGCTTCAGCTCCTGAACGTCCATAAAAACGTTCCTTGATTTTTTTTTTTTTTTTTAGAAGTAACTGTTTTAGTATTAGATGAAAACAAATAACCAAAATTTGGTGCAATACACAATGTCACTACTCCAAAAACGAAAAAGGGTAAAAATAACAATTAGCTTAATTCCATCGTTTATCCCATTCTGAGTGTTTAAAGTACTTTTGTGATTTTGTTTATTTAGCATGAGACCATAGAAAGCAATACAATTTTTATATTACAACCCAGTGCTAGAGGGCGAGCACACACGCATGCAAGCAAGCAAGCAAGCAAGCCCACACACACACACACACACACACACACACACACACACACGCATTTTTTTTTAAGGTTTCACAAAATAATACCCTAGTGATGTACATTCTGGTGTCTTCTATGTTATCTTAATTCAGTTTTTTTAGTGCTATTCATAAATAACTAAATCAATTTGACAATTGAGTAACCGGTAGAAAATTGCAGAGTGAAAAACAGTGCCTCAAATTATTAGGCAGAGTAAACAATATTTTACAGAAACTGGTTGCTACCCTGATTTCAGCTTTCTTCCAGCCAATAGGCTGGCTACTGCAGTGATACGTAATCAAATTTTCAACGAGTTTCTTGCTAGCCTTTTACGCTTTGGTTTCAGAGTATTCAGAAAAAGTCCTCAATGTATTAAGTGAAAAGAACAGAAAACGAACACCCCCGCTTATGTAAAACACTCATAAAAATCACGTACACGAGCTTATACATTCTCAAAAAGAAGGAACCAATAATCTGCAATTGTTAATGGACTCTCCAGCGGATGAGATTTGCTACGGGCTTTCTTCTTGCCCCTCGCCGCCCCTCAGAGCAAACAACTGCAGTAAAAACCAAATACGCAGAAAAATACTATCATCTGGGCACAGAAACCGTTTTAGTACCTTGCGACCCCGCATCTTTAGCTTTTCTTTCACGAGCTACCCCAAAACTGTCGTCAGGAGACCGGAGGACCTGGAAAGGGCCTTTTGGGGAGCAAGCAAGGACGATGGCGGTTTTGGTCAGCTCTACACAACTGTTGCACGACGACAGCAAAGCGATCGTTAACATGCACACACTTACATGGCACCGTATCGACAGACTCCTGCAAAACTCCGCGGCCTCCGGGCCGGAGACCGAGCGCGCCGGGAACCAGGGGAAGAAAGGGGGTGTGTGGACAGGTGGCGCCGACTGCCTAGCCTCGCGGCGTGGCCCGCCCTCCCGCAGCCCTCCGCCCTCCCGCAGCCCTCCGCCCGCGCGCAGCCCTCCTCCCTCCTGCAGCCCTCCGCCCTCCCGCAGCCCGCCTCCCGCCCGCAGCCCTCCGCCCGCGCGCAGCCCTCCCCCCGCCCGCAGCCCTCCGCCCGCGCGCAGCCCTCCTCCCTCCCGCAGCCCT